AAACTAAAAAAAGGAATTGGAAGAATAACTTTGGTTGGGAAAAACCCCCCTTTTTCAAGAACTTCGAAAGAGGGGAGTTTTTTACCCACGAAAGCTTATGCTCCCAGTACTTCTGTTAGTCTCAAAGGTGCCACAGGACCCTCTGTTCCGTATTTACAATTCATTTAAATGCTAGGATGTTCTTTTGATCTCTAAACTATCAGAATACAGCATAGACAAACTATTTCATACAAACAGTGAACTATCAAACTATTATAATTAGCAACAATTAATCCCGTATCATGATAAAAGTGCCTCCACATGTGTATGTACTATTTATTTTAAATCCAGGTCTAAATCTCGCTTTGGTCAAGGCCGTCCAACCTAAGGAACCTCAGGAAGAAACCATAGCCAGAATTCATTGCTGCTTCCTGGAACTGTACTGTACTTCAATACGGAGAATGCATTCTCCAAAAGCTTTTAAGTGACTTATTTATTATTTATTCCTGTAAGCCATGTAAATTATTCTGCTATGATGAATGAATGCAAAATCCAGAAAGCTCTAATACTTATTTTAATTGTAAATACAGTTTCTTAGATTGCTTTTTTTGGCTATTGTGTTAAGCTACATAGAAAACATTTTATAAACCTGCAAATTTAAAATATTTGAAAATCCTTGCTTATTGAAGAGTGGTGCTTATAAACTACTCTAGACCATCACTTTTAACTGCTAGACATTTTAAAATGAAGAAACTACTGAATTATGAGTGCAATCAGCAATGTTTAAATGCATCATCTAGTATTGTGATTTGAACTGTACATCTGGGGGTGATCTTTATCTTGCTTACACTGGTTTGACTGATGTAACTTTATTGAAGTCCATGGAATTACTTCTGATTGACAAGGATATAAGTGCAATCAGAATCAGGCCCCTAGGCTTTCCTCCACATGTCCACACAACTTCCATTCATGCTAAGGCAAGCATCAAGGGGGATTAGACCCCTAAAGATCACGTGAAATGAACCTACTGAAGGTATGATAACTTTGCATCTTGCATGAGGCATTCATTTTCTCAACTTTACTGCATGGAAAAACATGTTCATTCTCATTTTGGTCCTGACTCTTCTTCTGCATCATACAGTTCTTTGTTCCCTTTTGTTGTCTGAGCTTTAGAGGCATAGTAAAGCAGTTTCTTCCTTTAGTAATACCAGTGCCACTGTATCTTTGCTAGCAGAGGTGGTGTAAATTCTGTACCTTTTGAAATGAAAGGCAATCACTTTGAGGCATCTTGCCTATGTAGATCTGGCCGGGAAGTATGTTCCTAGACCTGTCTGAATAATCCTGTTTGGCAATCCAATGTTCTGATATGGTTCTACTGGAGCAGTAGGGTCCATGTTTGTTTTAGTGCACAGTCCAGTAGTACCACAATGGGACAACTTGCCTGGGAAAAAATCGTGTTTATTCAAAGGAAATTGCAATAAAGCAGTATTTTGAAAACCACATTCTAATTTTTCTAAGCAGGCAAAAAGAGCACTCAGGGAAAACTTATTCCAGACCATAATCATTCAATAAAATGTGTGTTTGGAAATAAGCTCAAGATCTCTGGGGGAAAAAAATCCTTCCTTAAAATGTATTCTCTATTTGCAGGCCTGTATTTGCCTTGTTTCTAGAATTTTTCTAATAATTGAAATTGGAAATTAGGCATGGTGGTGATTGAGAGAGGGTGCAGGTTCATTAAAAATAAGTGTTAGCTCTGTTTACATGTGTTCCTCCAAGTTAACATCAATCCAAACGTCATTGAAACCAATGAAAGGACTTCTGTGGACTTCAGTGACCTTTGGCTTGGGGTATGATTGGTAGGTGCAGCAGTGCTTTATCTTACATTCATAAGAGACATGGCTTTATCAAAACCTATTGTTTGTTTGCAAAAAAAAAATCAGTTTTGTATTTTAAAAGTTGTGTTTATACTAAATATTATTTTAAAAACTCATTTTCTTAAAAAATGGTTTACAATTCACTATGTGCAAAAATATTAGTTTTCTAGCTTGTATAGAAGTCTGTCTAAAGCTGCACATGTAAACTTTGCTAAGCAAGTTGCAAATTGAACAAGGAGGAGTGTGAGTGTGTGTGTAAAAGATTTTTTAAAACTGCTGACTTGAAAAAGGGAAAAAAATTCTCTCCAGGAGGGGAAAGTCTAATGATTTGGTTTATGTCAAAATGTCATTTTTACATGCCAGTATCCTTCATAATATTCTATTCAAAATGTGCTTTTTTTCTTTTTTATAAACATATGCCTGTAATATATGTAGTGGAAGTGCAATTCACATTTTATTAAGTATTAGTAGTAGTTTCTTTGACAAATTCCATTCACTTTTATCCTGTATTAACTTTGAAGTCATGTCTCAGTTTAACTGAAATAAATGTTACTGATTTAAAAACATTTTATTTTTAGTTGACTTATAAAGCCAAATACATTATGTAGTGGGAAATGTTATTTTTGTTTCAGATAATAATGATTCTTGCATGTCATTGTCCCTTCCTCAAAAATGTATAGATTCTTGATCTCCCATTGTTCTTTAAAGTAGCTGTCTAACTTTTCTTGAAGCATTATGTTACAGACTTAACATATAGTTGGGATTATGCTATCCAATATGCATTACTTTGCATTTATCAACATTAAATTTCATCTGCCATTTGGTTGCCCAGTCACCCAGTTTTGAGAGATTCTTTTGTATCATCTGCAAATTTTGCCACCTTACTGTTTTACCCCTTTTTCCAGATCATTTATGAATGTTGAATAAGACTGGTCCCAGAACAGACCGCGGGGGGGACAACACTATTTACCTCTCTCCATTCTGAAAACTGACCATTTATACCTACCCTTTGTTTCCTATCTTTTAACCAGTTACCAATCCATGAGAGCAACTTCCCTCTTATCTCATGGAAGCTTGCTTTGCGTAAGAGCCTTTGTTGAGGAACCTTGTCAAAGGCTTTCTGAAAATCTAAGTACACTATATTCACTGGATCCCCTTGGTCCACATGCTTGTTGATCCCCTCAAAGAATTCTAATAGATTGGTGATGCATGATTTCCCTTTACTAAAACCGTGTTGACTCTTCCTGTGAAGGGGTGGATTGGGCGCGGAGCTTGGGCAGAGCAGGGGTGGGAAGAGGCAGAGCAGGTGTGGGGGCTATGAGGAAGGGGTGGAGTGGGTGCGGGGCAGGGGCAGCCGGGGGATTGGGCTGGCCGCTGGAGTAGCACGCAGCTGCATAGGGCACCAGGAAATTTGGGGCAATTTGGTGCCCTATGCAGCTGCGTAGTTTGCGAATGGGTAAGGATGGTCCTGCTCATTGTGGAATCCATCATCAAGTCCTAGCTGCAAAGACATTGCTAACGTCCCTTAATGCTGTGCTGGATGTTATACAAGCAATGAACTACCTTAAAGCATATGGTCTGAATAGTCCTCTCTTTCAAGAGCTTTGCAACGAAATGGTTGGTGCAGACGAAGATCTGTTTTTCCACACTCATAAGAATGGCCGCACTGGGTCAGACCAAAGGTCCGTCCAGCCCAGTATCCTGTCTACCAACAGTGGCCAATGCCAGGTGCCCCAGAGGGAGTGAAC